AGAAGCTATCATATCCATTGTAAATTACCAGTGCTGGTGGTTCATGTTGGCATACAAGTGAGGCATGACTGGAAAGGGGTATTGTTATTAGGGGCACAAGTTGTCATGAGTGAAAAGAATAGATCCACTACAACAACTGACGGGTCTCAGGACATAGCTGTTCTTGTGAGCTTGGCACACAGTAATATGCAAAAGGCTTCCTCTTGTCAGCTGATGCTCATTTGGTTGGTTCCATGTAAATGTTCAGTGATTATCATTGAATACAGGTTACAGTAAAGGTTAAAAAGATTAAGTGTGGCTTCCAAAGCACTCCTGGTTAGCTTCATGCAGTGTTCACTTGCAGAATAATTTAGAATTTTTCATTGCAGATTGAATGTCTAATAAATAGTTTTAAAACTTAAGAAAGAAAGAAAGAAAGAGAGGTGAGTATATAAACAACCTTATAAGGTAAAAGAAGTATCCTGATAGGAAAAGCAGACATAATATTAGAAATGGGATTCATGAATGACAGAGCCAGCCGGTACCTCTAGCAGAAGGATGTGGTGCTATTGTGTAAGGGTGTGCTTAAACTATTGGGAAATCATCTAAAATCCTTGTAGTTTGTGATAATAATAATAATGAAATGCATAAAGCTCACGAGCTTTGGTAATGTCCTGTGTAATAAAAAATGATTTTTTTTTTACTTTTATGTTAGTCCTAGAAAGTAGCTATCTTTGCATTTCATTACTTAACCAGAAAATTAAAAAATGTATTCAGAAGAAATATATTTGGAAGAAAATTAAAAGCCTTTAGATTTGCTACTTCTAACAGAGTATTGCTATTGTTGATTTTTATCTTTAAATAATACATTTAAAAGGATTAGCAGGTATATAACACAGAAGAAAAAAAGACAGAATCGTTTTACTTTGTGGTCCTTTAAAACAAAAGAAATTACATCATTTTTTCTTCCCCTCCCTCCCTTCCTCCCGTTTTTTGTGGGCCTTTGTCCCACTGGTACCAGCAAGCATTTCTGTCCATCTTCATTCTTCACCTAGGACTTCTCTAAGGCATCTTAGGAATTCTGGGACAGACAGGTTTTTTTCAGGCAGTGGGGTAAAACTGAGTTTTAGGTACTCAAACTACCTAAAACTAGTTTTAGGACCTCGCCGCCTGGTTCGTCTCTGTTGTACCACCTCTACTTCTTTCTGTTGTTCTATGTATTTGCTCTTTCAGCTGCTTCATTCCTTCCAGCTCAGGTCTTTGTCAGTAACAGAGATCCAGCCTCATTTCTCTCTCCAAAAAAAATATTAAACCAAAAATCTCTAATCTAGAGTCTCTGTTCCTTGAATCTGGACACAGATACAGCACGGGTGCTGATGGCAAACATGGAGTTCAGTCCCCAGCAACACACACAGACATGCGCACACATGCAGACACAGACACACACGCGCGCACACACACAGAGAGACATACAGACAGACACAGACACACGCACACACACTCACAGAGACATACAGA